AGAGAGAGAGAGAGTGACCATACAACAACAAGAGGATGAACAATCATCACTTTATCCAAGGCATTGAAAAGAAAAAGCATGTAGAAAATCATCTTCGTATAGAACTGAAGAGGAACAGGTTGTGTACTTCATTGTGTATCGCATTCGCACCAGTATGTGAGTGAGAGAGAGAGAGAGAGAGAGATAGCGATCATACAAACAACAAAAGGATGAACAATTATCACTTTATCTCAGGCATTGAAAAGAAAAAGCAAGTAGAAAGTCATCTTCTTATAGAACTGAACAGGAACAGGTTGTGTACTTCATTGTGTATCGCATTGGCACCAGCATGTGTTCCATTTCCACCCAATACGAACAGCATGTTGATTCCACGAGCCTACATGACCCAACTAACAAACCGTTAAAAGTCTGATAATCTTGGTGCAACCCGAAGTTGAAAGTCAGCATATAAGAATTCTTTGTGACGAAATTAAATACGTCAACCAATGAAAGCACTGTGCTACACCTGTATGCTATCCACAATCTCACTCGTACTAGCACCCCCTCGTGAAACACCAAGCAAACTTCCACCATTAAGATTGATATTTTGAACCACATGCCTGGAAAGCTGAAAATCAGATGGCAATTTGTCATATGTATTCAAAGATAACTTACTTCAGGAAAGGATCTTCTATATGGGAATACTCCCAAATCTTAAATTGCTTAAAAGAAACAAAGAGAGACTCCCTTACTTGTATTTCGCTCAGGCTCACATCAAAAAATCCTCGATATCCAAACTGGATCCCAACAATCTTCTTAACACCATATATTTCAAGTGTAAATACAATCTGCAAAGCCAAGAAAAGAATCACCTTAAGAATTCCTTTTCATGAACCCAGGAATCTCAACATCTTAACTAGTAAAGCTTTATCCTATTCGCAAAGTTTCAGCAAAGTCACAACTTTAAAAGGAGAACATAAAAACTCTTAGGATGCAATCCATCTCATCTATTCAAGACAAAGCTACCTCCAAGTTTTGGAAGTAAAATTTTGTAGTCCTAAATTTTATTACAGAATGTTAAGCAATGTACACTGCAGTGGGGGAAAAAATAGAGAGCAAGAGAGAGAGAGAGAGAGAGAGAGAGAGAGAGAGAGAGAGAGAGAGAGAGAGAGAGAGAGAGACACACACTACGTACGTATACGACGACTACTACGTACGTACGACGTAACGAACTAACTACTACCTACCGTAACGTAACGTACGTAACCTAACCTCCGTTACCGTTACC